ATATTCATGGATCCACTTTTCATTGAGGAGCATTGAACCTTGCTTCATAATGGTATTTACTATAATATTTCAGCATGTTACCCTTCTGTATATCTGCTCTTTGACATGATGGGAATTATACAATGTCACACGTGTATGTGACAAATGGAAAGACTTCTGAGTTCTGACTGCACATTTGTTAAGCATTAATTGCAATTATGCATTGTCACACGTGTGTGTGGCGATGGACAGCTTTGCCTTGAACTTTGATGGAAGTCAATAACTCAATTAAGAAGTTGGTGTGAATCGTGTGATCATGAGAACCTTGGTAGTCAAAGTTTTATTTAAGACTCATTGGAGCATATTAGCATTAAAATTATCAAAAAAGTTATCATTTTAATGTTATATAAAAATATTGTGCACAAATATATGTTGATGTGGCATGTATGAGACATGAGATTTTTCTAGTGAAAAATTTGATAAGTGATAATATATCAAGTGTTGGGATTCTTGAGTAGGAAGAAGTTATTGCTCATCTTGGATTAAGAGGGAGAGTGAGAGAAGGGAGAGCGGGGTTTTGGAGGATAAATAAACTTAGTTTTATTCAAATTTTTTAGAGATACAAATTATACAAATGAAATATATGTAGACTAGACATTGACGCGATATCTTGCGGAACAACTTAAACTAAAATTAAATCTGTACCAAAGCTAACATCAAATCTAGTAAAGTAGAAATAATTTATTGAAGTAATCAACAATTATCGAAGTAAATATCCTTGCATAACTAGATAAGACATTAATGTAATATAATAGAAATGAATCATATAAATGTCTCTTATGATGATAATACAAATTTAAGGTAATGAGTAATTGATAGTTGGCATTGTACAACTTGAGTTATCGGTGGATGGAGTGTAATCGGATAAGTTGTTCTTTTGATAGGAGAGAAGATTAGGTGACTAGGAAGATGGATACTTGATGTTGGTAGTTGGTAGGCATTGGGCGGTTCATGTTTGATGAAGAATATTGTCATATGCAGGGTGAAGATCAATGCAAAATATTAGAACTCAAGTAATTGTGCGCACTGATTTAGTCTTATGTTTATACGAGGGGAGTGCTTGTGATCAATAAGAAATGCATTAGACATTGATGACCACAAACATTCTAATATTAAGGGGTTTAACCAAATGATCATGAAAAAAATGTATTAGTAGTCAATGGCCGGTGAATGTTGTATGTTGTTCATTGGTAGACTTCAAAAGATGCTTGATAATCTACATCATGAAAATCTCTTCACTCCTTTAATTTTCTTTTGGATGTATGTAAGCATGATCTATTTATGGATAAATAAATGATGTATTTTGATTATTTTAGCCAAAAATTAAGACACTCTATAGGAAGATGATCCAAAATAATCCCACTACTGATTTTATATATGTTTTAGGTATGTTAGTATTTAATGATCTTGGAATTGAGTAATATTGACATGTTGTTTAGTCTCATCAAGACACATCTTTAGGCTATAATTCGATTCCTAAAAAAGTTGTTAAAATTTATAATTATGCTTCTAAATACTTGACAAGTAGACTTGAATTTAAGCATTTTTTTATATCACTAGATTCATATTATTAAATCAAACATCTTAAATATATATTTGCTAAAATTAAAAGTCGGAAGGAGCTCAAAATCAATAGTAGAAGTTTCTAGCTAAAATATTTGCTTGTTTCGAGATATGAAATTAAAGTTTGTGTTAGATTATGGTTTTGTTTAAGATAGCTTTCTTATTGCTTTCTAAAGCTATTTTTAGAACTAAAAAATTGCTTTAGAAAACAGTACGAAACATATCCCAAACGAACCCTATATTAACTTTTCAATTGCTTATAGAGTCTATATTAACTTTTCAATTGCTTATGGAGTCTAATTTTATTCCTCCTTGATAATGTAACAATATAATTAAATTTTTTTTGCTCCTGAAATTTGGAAGATAATGGATCATTAGGACTGCAATTGAGAGATTATTAGAACCATGAAGATGTTTGGCTTAGCTATTTTGTCAACTTAGATTTCATTTGAGATGACTTTCTTATTGCTTCTTAAAGCAGTTTTATAATATAAAAATTTTAATTTTTATGCTAGAAAGCAAGAAGCAATAAAAAAGCCTTCCAAAAAGCCATTTGGGAGGGCTTTTTTACTGCTTATAAAGCGGCTTTTTAGTAGAAAAATTAAATTTTTTGTACTAGAAAGGGCTTTAAGAAGCAGTAAAAAAGCCGTCCCAAATGAAACATTAGTCTTCGTTTTGAACGACTTTTTTAATGCTTTGTAAAATTATTTTTTAGATAAAAAAATACAAAAAAACAGAAAAAAAATATTTCTCTAAAGCTGTCCCAAATGAAGCCTTAGTCGTATCAAGACTTAGTTCTCTTACCCATTATACTCAATCAAAATTGATCAAAATGTGATCATGTAACAGATGATTTCAAATGCTATATCAATTTAGAGGTATTAAATTATATGACTTTATTAATCAACTAAAAAATTATGGGGGTATAATTTTATGAAAAATTTGAGAAATATTTTTGATGTGACAAGAAACATCCTTTCGATGGCCGTAAAATTTCTCTGCTTTTTAAGAAGTCTCCTTCCACACAGCTCACCTTGGCCTATTTTGTTTCGAAAATTTCAATATATATTCTCTAGTGTCTCATAGTGACTTCATAGGTTTCAAATGAAGAACCCGAACATGGTGGACCTTAGCGGTAAAGACTTGGCTAAGAATGCTCACCTTCAACTGAGGTACCCGGCAGCTAAAGGATTTGACCCAACTCGGTAAAGCAACCCAAGAATAATCATCTCTAAGGGGAATTCTAAGGATTCAATTCATATAAGATATTCTAGGCCTTGTGAATCCGTCTACTCAGCTGTGGTCGTCCCTCTCAAGCCAATTCACTATCACTCTAGCAGGCAAAGCACCAATGGTACTCATCAATCTAGCCCATAAGGAATGTTTTCCTAAAGAAAGATATAACTATACTCACACATTCTTTATAAACCATGAGTTTGCATCAACCATAGCTCTAGTAGACTTGTCCTTCAGAAAAATCAAAGGGTTACCCCCATGAGGTCGCCAATGTGGTTAAATGATTCATTGACATAGATTCTTCAAGCTCAACCCATATGAAGACTCGCTTACATTGACTAACTCACAAAAACTCGAAATAAGGGAACTTGCCTTGAGGCCAAATGATGGGCAAAAGGAGGAGAATCATATTAAGCAACCACTAGATTACAAAATGTGCCATGAGTAGTCAATATTGATTGTTGCAAACTCAGAGAATCCCGGAAAGGCTTGTGAGAAGGTTTTTAAAAATGGTCTATTGGAATGCATCATGTAAGTGATTGTCTTAGTGATATGACACTAAGTTACGTACTACCGTTAATTGATTTTATCATGTTATTTCTACGAAGGAGATGTGATTGGAAGAAACTGTATAAAAATCATAAGAAGTTTTTGAATTTATAAGTGGTATAATTAATGAGTTCTAAAATCATAATCCTTCTCTGCCAACTGTAAAATAAAGTGTTATGTCTTTGTCCCATGGAGTACATGATTTTATTTTTATACTTACATATACTTTCATATGTAATGTGCCTGGTAGTTAGGCGGTAGGTCGCAATAAAGGACTCACCCATACTTCCTCATATTTTTCAGGATTTAGTTTTCTCACAAAGGAAGCAAACCGGCTCCCACTGCCATGACCACTCGCTCTCTTTTTGAGCGAGCATCCTCACTCATGCACATCCAACTCATGTACAGGAAATTGCCCACTCACAGGGTCTACAGCTCACCTTATTGTGTCCATTCTGCCTATGTGCCCTTTCCCACAACAACTCACTTACCTCTCTCTTCGAAGGCGGTTTGAGACTTTCAATACAAGTTGTTGGAAACCTCATCCAGATTGCCAATCGCATGCCCCCTCAACTCAACTCGTCAATGGACTTGCCTAAGCACACTCGCCTAAACACACTAGAAACTATTGAGCTTGCTCTAGGGCAAGATCTTCAAGTGTCATTCAATGCCACACCCTCTAGCCAATCATGAGGTTACATGTGTCTGGGACAGTCTATACTGAAAGTTATTTAAATCAATATATTTTTATTCTTCTACGTAGCATTTTCTATTGCCCTTATATCTCTATAAATAAAAAGACGAAATAAGCATCTTGGATCTCTTTGAATCCTTTGTATCTTTTGCATTTTTTAACTGAGTGAGATCTCGAGCCACTTTAGTACTTTTCTACAAATTTCCTCCGTATAATTATTTCTCTTTATTCTCATGCACACCCGTTCTTGTTCATCTCTTACATAGCTTGCCCATAAGGTTTGGTGTCAGCCATGAATAAATTTGCATCCAACATGATTTATTTCTAATACTTAATTAGATGTGTTAATTATTTCATGCAAATATTATTAAATGTATTAATGTTTTTCAACTTTCATTTGCATATCATCTAAAATTTGAAGAATCTTTTCTAATTTATTATTAGAGTTCGAGGATAAAACATTCAGCTAAATTTTAATGTCATATCTAAGACTTATTCGATCTTCTTCGAAATATAAAATGTAAATCTTTTTTTATAATAAGAAACAATTAATCTTATTCGGTGCTAGCAAGCTTAAGTAAATATAGTTGAAGCTCTTTAGATTTTTCTATAAAACTATTTTTACATTTTTTTTTTTGTAAATCATTTCAAAATAGCAGTCAGAAAATAAAATCTCAACATAAATTTTGATGAGTAATTTTTAATAAAATATGTTTTCATGATAATATGACATTTTGTTGTAATACAAAGAAAATAAGTTGTTGTTGGCAAAATAGAATTGTACAAGGGCCTATACGAAAAATACTTCCCAGTTGAAACAACCAGAAGGTCCAGAATACATTGAAATTTCTCTGACATGTGTAAAATTTATAAATAGATAAAGATACGAAAAGTTCTTCACTACTTCTCCAATTCTCTTTCTCTCTCTCTCCTCTTTTCAGGCGGTTCTTCTTATCCGCCTCCTTTAGCTCAGCACCTTGCGGCCGTTTCTGCTATCATCTTTCAGAGAAAAATCTGAACGCTTCTACAATTATTTCTCCATCATCCTTTTAGCCATATTAGGAGACCTTAACGCTACTCCAAACGGCAAAACCCTAACCCTAGCCACATCGGGCTCGCCTGGCGAGCCGCCTCTATGCAACCTAGCACCAGAGAAATGCAATCAATGGGAGCTCCAATGAACGGCATGCCAGGATCATCCACGCCTTCCTCAACCGCTGCCTCAGCGTCCCATATTTCCCTTCACGAGCTCCAGAACGGTAACGGTCAGGCCCATATTCAAAACCCAAATCTGCACGGTTCCTCTTCCCAGTTCGACCCATCCGCAGCCAGTAACGATGACTTCTTCGACCAGATGTTCTCCAACATCCCTTCCTGGCCAGACCTCGGCAAGTCTCCGTGGGATCTCTCAAACTCCGCCGCCGCCGCCTCCGGCTACGACGAATCTTCTCTTCTCGCATCACGGCTCCGTCAGTACCAGATCAGCAGCGGAGATGGCGGATCTCCGGTAGGAAAGTCCATGATGCTACCGCTCAGCGCACAGCAGCAACAGCAGTTTCTCCTCTCGGCCATCGGCGGGAGGCCAACCGCCTCAGATCCCGACTCCAGTTTGCTCACCCCGCTGCCGCTCTCTCTCGCTTCCGCCGGCCATGGATCCGACTCCGACACTTCCTTCAAATCCCCTAATTCGACCGTACGTACCCCAACCACTATTTCTTACATGTTTTTTTGTTTAATCACATTAGTAGATTAATATAATTAGTTGGATTTCTTTCGCAGACAGCAGACGGGCTTTACAATGGATTCGGTAGCGGATCACTTCAACGATCACCGAACCAGCCGCAACATTTTCATCAGGCTCAGGTTTTCTTTCAAAAAATTTTTAAAGCTGAACCGATTTGCGTTACTTATATTTACTGACGCTACAAATGATTCGAAATGGTAACTGTAGGGTGCAGCAATACCTCAGCAGAGCTTCGGAGCAGTGCCGCCGGCTGCAGTTTCTACACCCGCCGGTGCTGGGGCTCCGGCCGCTCCTCGGCAGCGAGTCCGCGCACGACGCGGCCAGGCTACGGATCCACACAGCATCGCGGAGCGGGTAAGTCCTTCTAAAAATAAGAATTACAAAATTAAAAATTATAGTTAATCTCAGCCACTGCAGTTGGTGGGAGGTTGCAGATAATCGAGTGGTTATTGTGGAGGGCAAAGATTAAAGCTTCACACCACAGAAAAACTTCTAAAAAAAAAAGGAAAATTATTATTAATCGGGAAGCTGAAAACTGATTGATGTTTTCAGAAATTTATAGTTCACAGTTGCTAAGGGCTTTTGATTTTGTTTTTTACTGAAAGAATTGAGATTTTATCGTTTCGCTTTTTTGTTTAATTAATTAATTAATTTTTCGTTACGGCATGCGCAGCTTCGCAGAGAGCGGATCGCAGAAAGAATGAAGGCTCTGCAGGAACTCGTCCCCAACGCAAACAAGGTAAAATGGAAATGAAATTTCTATAAAAAATTTTTGTCGTTCAGCTCATTGCGGAAAATATTTACAATATTTAAAATTATTTTTAAAACTTTATTTCTGATGAATTAAGACTTTTTTTTTTGTTTTTGTTTTTTTGGAAATTTAGGGGCATAGCCCGTATCATTGCTTAAGTAAAATTACAAGTAAGAAAAAAGGAAACCTATGATCTTGATTCACAACAACAAAAAGTGAATTAAGACATTTAAGTTTGAACGAATTTTGAATTTTTTATCATGATTAGATTAAACTATCATAAATTGACCATTGTTTTGCCAAATACTGATAATTGTATTGAATTTGGAAGGCTAATAGTGTTACATTTTCCTTATAAGCGTCAGCTCTTGATAATTTAATTAATATTTTAGCAAATTTTGATATATTTTTTAAAATTTTTTCTGGAGTATGAGAGTTTTAACTTTCCAATTAATTTATCATAATTATTAGATACTTATATAGTTTTATTCAGGTTTTGGCAAATCGCGTTAATTTATTAGAATTTTTGTTAATTTTTTTATTGGTTAAAAATTAAGCTTTTAAATTAGTTTACCATAGGTAAGAAGCATTATCCTTCTTTAAAACAGCTAATTTATAGCTATTTACACACTATTTTCAAATCGATATTCTTCTGTTTTTTTTTTTAATTGCGACGGCAAATTCTTAATAATGATTTTTTGTTATTACTCTTGTGATTAAATAATGATTTACCTGCGGTTCTCCGCCGACATCCGGCTTGGGCGAAGCGCCGCCTGCGAAGGCCGAGAACAGAAAGGCCGGCCGCATTCCCTGAGTTGCTTGTGCTGCCGGCGTAGCATACCATGTCCTACATAGTAGACTCTAGAGGATGCTCTTTTTCCAACTGGCCCCTTTATTTCTAGTATTTGCAATTTAACTCCAAATGATTTAAAAATTGGGGCTTTGGAATCACAGACGGACAAGGCTTCCATGCTGGATGAGATTATCGACTACGTGAAATTCCTACAGCTTCAAGTCAAGGTAAGCACTTTAATCTCTCCTCCCAATAAATTCAATTAGAATTATTTAAATCCAATTAATTAAAACGTGTATTAAGGAGTTAATCATTTCGTGGGAGGCTGGAGAGATGATGTAGGTTCTCTGCACTTCTTGCAGGTACTCAGCATGAGCCGCTTGGGAGGCGCCGCCGCCGTTGCCCCTCTCGTCGCCGACATCTCCTCAGAGGTGCATCATAATCCCTTCCTTTAGATATTCTATTAAGATTATTGCTATTATCAGTACGATTGCTAATATGCATTTGATGAATTTTTTTAATCTTATAAGCTAAAAACTCTAATCTCATGATTTCTAGTCCCTTATTATTTAGTTCTTAATATCAAGTAAGTTATAGTTATGTTGGTGTGTCTAATGATAATTATTCATGCATATGTTATTTCTTTTCTTAATATTCAAAATACCTATTTAATTTCAAAAGGACACGCATATCTAATGCGTATTGGAAGCGTATATGTGTATCGGTGTATCGGATACAGCACGCCTTTATAAATATATAGGTGCATCGATGCAACATAGAAAAACAATTAAGATAATCAAATGTAATTTTATGTTTTGAAGATTTGAAAGATTTCAATGACATGTTAGTAAAAAGAGGAATTTGTGGGATGGCAGGGACAGGCGTGCTGCCAGGTGAAGTACCCAAAAAACCCTGGCTTTATGTTTTATTAACTTCTTTTTAAAATTTCCGTTTTTCATGTTTTTATTAGGGTGGGGCAGCGGTGGGGAGGGGATCGCCGGCGGCGAACGAAAACATGTCGGCGACCGAGCACCAGGTGGCTAAACTGATGGAGGAGGACATGGGTTCGGCCATGCAATATCTCCAAGGAAAGGGCCTCTGCCTGATGCCCATCTCCCTCGCGTCCGCCATCTCCACCGCCTCATGCCGCGGCCCAACCTCCAGCCTCCTCGCCGGCTCCGGTGCCTGCGCCATCAACAATCTGGCCGCTCTCATCCCCGGTATTCCGGTGGGAGGGGACGCACCGTCGTCGCCTAGTCTGTCGGTACTCACGGTGCAGTCCGCCGTGGCCGGCGGCTGTGAGACCGACCTCTCACGGTCCTCCGGCAAGGACGGCGCCGCCTCTGTATCCAAGCCATAAAGATGGAAGATGACGAAATTGAAGAAAAAGGCGTCAAAGTTAAAGTCTAAGGGAAATAATGTCGTCTTTGGGCAGTTCTTTTTTGGATTGACGCCCGTATTTGCTTAGACTTTGGCAGCTTGCCCCCACCACCACTATCACCATCATCATCACTTCCTTCTTTTTTCATCTTTTCCTTTTCTATGAACACTATTAACTATTTAGTATATATACATATATATATTTTCAATTCCAGTCAACTTTCTATTCTGTATTCTGTATCGCTTCTACCTGTTCTTCTAACTTTTGGATTAAATATTAGCAAGTCGTAGCATATCTTTTTATCAACTCGCAGACTCTTTAGATTATCAAGTTTCTTTATAAAACATTAGAGATTGTGGTGCCTCTTTGGAGGATGAGTTATTATGTGCGGATACCGAACGTCATTCAGAGTCTATTGAAGATGTGTCATATCACCTCATGCTCAGTACCACGGCTCAGTTGCTCGTTACCGAGCTTGGCACTGCTACTGCTCGGTATCAAACTCAGTATTGTATTGTATGACGCAGTTGCACCTGATTCATCTCTGAATGATAAACTGTGTTCGATGTCCGCATTTAGGATAATAGTAGGCAAAGTATGGAAATGAGATCACGCCTCATAATAATATATTTAAAGTGCTTTTTATACTGGCTTTAGCTGCTATAAGTCTGATCAGCATTCCATGGTTTGTGATTATATTATAGGACATTGCATACATTCTAATTAAATTTTGATTATTTATAAACCTATGATTAATATTTTTTTCTTAATAATCAAATTCTTATGAGGGATTTGGTTTTGTGCGGGCAACTAAGGGCAAGATGTTGCTGTCTCTCCTTGGCTGTCGTTATGCGGATACCAGCGATTCGAGCGAGCCAGACAAGTTGTCCGTTGTAGTTGTTGTTGAATATGTTGCCGCGACAGCTTTGTCACGTTATCTCTGTTTGGGTATTTGCTGTTGGGATAAATTTCTGATTGGATAAATGGAAGATCGATGAGGGTAAATTGTTTTTCAACCAACAAGTTAGGGGCTAACTATTTATTTTGCAAGTAAAATTTACTCCTTTTTAATATGAGATTTAGGTTTTATTTGGGATAATTTTCATGGTGCTTTCTAAAACAAAGTATTAGTTAAAAAAAATTTTGAATTAAAAAAATTTGTACTAAAAAATTATTTTTGAAAACAATAAAGAAATTCTCACAAATGAAGCTTTAGTTCATTTAAGCTCTCATTTTCTCCTAGAAGTTTGTCATCTAACGACATCTCCAACCTAAAATCTCATTTTTCACTCCAAAATACCGTGAAACTACAAAGTGAACGAAGCCTTAGGCTTTATTTGGGATAATTTTCTTGGTGCTTTCTAAAACAATGTATTAGTTAAAAAAAATTTTGTACTAAAAAATCATTTTTGAAAACAATAAAGAAATTCTCACAAATGAAGCTTTAGTTCATTTAAGCTCTCATTTTCTCCTAGAAGTTTGTCATCTAACGGCATCTCCAACCTAAAATCTCATTTTTCACTCCAAAATGCCGTGAAACTACAAAGTGCCACGATTCATCTCCAATGGAACTCCACTTTTCACACTTTTGCAAGTAATGGTCGTCTCTTTTTTCCCGCGCCAAGTTCGGTAGAGAGCTAAAAATGATCGAGATGAATAGTGCAACGCCAATATTGGCGTCCCACTGTTCACCCGCAGCCAAATAGGGGGGAATTTGCGATTCCACTGGAGTTGGCCAGGGATGCCATTCAAGCACTTGGAGTTCGGTTGTAAATGCCCTAAGAAGCTTGTAAGAAGCTATTCCTTATAGAGGGCTCTACATTGATGGTCACTCCCTCCTCTTTCATTATATAATATGATTTTAATCAATGTTATTTAAGTAGCAATTTTATTTAAATAAAATTAAAGTAATTTTGTTGATCTTTTTTTATATATTAACTTTATAATTTAGGCATAATTGATAAATCAAATTAAAATCTCCAAGATTTTGAAAATGGAATGATATCTCATATATAAAAATAAAATCATTCTTTCTCTAATTGCCTTTGTCATATGTGGGATGCCATTCACTCACCAACTTTATCTTAATATGTCCTTGAAACGTATATTGAAGTTGAGGAAATATTAATTATAATGATCAAACTCATATTATGCAAGATATTTGTGACGACTTTCTTACTGCTTCTCAAAGTTGCTTGTGATAAAAATTTGATTTTGAGATCAATATGAAAGTTGTACCAAAAAAGCCTAAGGATTCTTTTGTGACAATTTTTTTATTAGAACTCATGCTATTTCAACTCTTAAAATCAAAGAATATATTGCTTAAATTAGAGCTTGTTTATAAATCAATGTAATAAATTGGAACAAAAAAAGCTCCAAAATTATTTCATCTATGGAGAGGATAAATCCAACATATGTTCCTTAAAGTATTTTGTAAGGTTGTAAAGATTATTAACCTTTTCTAATTAGGCCAAATTCGATTTTGGCGACTTTCTAAGCAAGGGTCAATATTAATAAACACGTATTCATTTTGATACGAATTTTATTACTAGACTAAGGCCATCATCTCACTCCAATCATGATCAATAAAGTCAAAAACAAGATTTAAATGCAATATATCAAAGATCTATGATGATGTCGTGTCATCTTAATTAGTATCTGAGACTAATTAAGTGGTATCACATAATCACAATAATCAAAGTCGTTTAATTTTTTTAGTTAGTCCTTAAACCAAACTCTCACACTTTAACATTTAAATAAAATTTTTTAGTTATCAAGCGACATTGGTGGAAATCCAACGGTGGAGGTCGGTCGGTGATAGTTTGATGGCGTAGGTCCGGTAATAGTGGCATAACAATGATGATTAGACGACGATGATCAACTAATGGAGTTCGGGCAACATTGATGATTCTATGACAGAGGTGAAGTTGCAATGATTCAACTATAATAGCTTGATGGTGGTTATCAAATGATGGTGTTTTATGGAGGTGGGTTGGGAGGCGGTAACCCAACAATGATGATCAAGCCACGATGGTGGTCCGATAGCAGTGGTCGGGCAAAGATAATCCGATGACAATGCTTTGGTAGAGCTATAGAATTCTCTAAATATTTGAGCTTTCTCAGAGATAATCTGCATTAAGATTTGTGCTGAACTTCTTGGTCTCGGATGTCAAATCGTGGGTTCGAAAGATGGTACATCCTGACAACATGTGACTTAAAGAAGAAATATGATCACCTGTTTTTTACTCACAAAAGAAGAGTACATACAAGTGATATAATCAAAACACACATCAGAGTAAACAACGAAAGAAAAACTAAATATTTGTTTCATTAATATGAAGTCAAATAATAGTACATCAACACAATAGTACAATTACAAATATACGAAGTCTAAAATGAACAAAAATAGAAAGGAAAATACCCAATTCTTAAAAGCAAATATATCATATAATAATATGCTATAGTAGGGCTGCAAATGAACCGAATCGAGGCGAGTATGCGAGTGTTCATGTTTGAGTTCATTTATTAGTAGCTTGTTCAAGTTTGCTTCGTGTTTGATTCGAGCTTTATTATTAGCGCTCATGTTTAGTTCATGTTCGATTTGTTTAGTGCTTATCAAGCTTTAAACAAATGAGCATTAACGAGCTATGCTCGTGAACATTTAGCGAATTTTTTTAAACTATCAAACAAGCACATTTATGAACATATCTAATGAGTATTCTTGATCAAACAAATGAGCAAGTTCATGAATATATATAACAAGTGTTTTCAATCTACCAAATGAGCTTGTTCACGAACAAATGATGTATGATTCATCTTATATTTGTTCATGAACAATTTGTTCACGAATCAAGCTTTTATCGAGCTTAATGTCGAGCATGTTTACGAGCTTCAAATGATGATGTTCGCGAACATAAATGAGCCAAATACATTAGTGTTCAAATTTATTTATTTAAGGATCAATTATTTAAAATATTGTTCAAGTTTATTTGTTTATATATGTAATTATGAATAATTCGAAAATTTTTTTCTCTCTTTAAATTTAAAATAATTAGTTTGTCCCCCGTCTATTTTAAATCCTGATTGAGCAGTAATTGCATGCATGTTCTCACCTCATCTACAGTATTTTCCAGCAATACTATTGAAGGGGGCTTACATAGCTTAGAAGAATGGCCTCGTCGTGTGGATATAGATAGATTTAAAGATGTGCAGGGAGCATTAAAAGGAGCAGAGAGGAGAGAAAGCACTGTATTTTTCATTATTTTTTTTTCTTCATCGCTTTCTCTGTTCGTTCATAGAATCAAGCCATGTTGTTCAGATTATTATGCTCATAATTGAATAAAGAATAAAAAATAATAGTTTCCTGATAGGACGAGTAATCTTCATTAATGAAAGGAATTGAAATGCCTAATAAAGAATTTGAGGAGTTATTGCAAAATGAAAGTGGACTTGCAGGGGCGGAATCAACTTCTTTTTTTAGGGTGGGTAAACATAGATACGGTGATGTGCATGCAGCAGAGGTGGCGGTGGCATTGTGCTCAAGCAAACTTCACAGGCGGCATCGACATTCAGTGTAGGCATAGGCGAAGTTGTGGCACCGTGCAAGCAATATGCATAGCTCTGTCGCAAGGGAACAATTATTAGGTAAGGTAACCTAACGTAGCTCTACGTTCGGAAGCCAATAACATGTAACCACGTGCTCTTACTCTTTACCGCGCGGCCCGACGACTTGACCCGGACCGGAACCTAGGATTGCTATGTTCGCATATTGCTAGGTATTGCTAGGTATTGCTTGACAATAACGAGAAATACAGCTCTGTGAAGACCAATATCGAGCAATACTGAGCAATACCTAGAAAAACTCGGTATTGCTCGGTATTGGTCTTCACAAAGCGGTATTGCTAGGTATTGTTAGGTATTGCTCGTATTGCTAGGTATTGCTTAGCAATAACAAGAAATACCACTATGTGAAGACTAATACCAAGCAATACCTAGGAAAACTCGGTATTGCTCGGTATTTGTCTTCACATAATGGTATTTCTCATCATTGCCGAGCAAAATAGACTAATACCTAGCAATACCGAGCAATATCTAGCAATACCGGGTCATCATGGATTTAAAATACGCACATGCGACATACCCACTATTCGCCGGGTCGGGTCCGTGGTATTGTGCCTGCTACGTGGCGCTATATCAGTGGTGACTGAACGCAGAGCTACGTCAAGTCACCGGACCAAATAAAAGTTCGTCGCAAGGGCATTTGCACAAGTAAACAAGAGAAATAAAGAGAAAGGGATGCTCAACAG